CCGCCCCTGAACGGCAGCAGCTAGAGACCCTGAAACGCAATGTCAACAAGTAAGGACTCCAACTCAGACCTACACTTAAACACACCTTCCAGACAAATCCATCTGGATATCCTGACACCCCTCCCACTAACGGAGGCAAACCTGAACTCATTGTCTTCTGTAGCTCCTATAACAGAATTTAATCCACCTATTTTCCTAAATAAGCCATTTTTTTCTTCTTCTGCCTGTAGTGAGGCTTGAACTCAGGGCCAGTACTGTCCTTAGCCTTTTCACTAAAGACTGATGCTCTGTCACTTGAGCCATATCTCCACTTGCAGCTTTTTGGTGATTAAGTAGAGTTAAGAGTCTCGTGGGCCAGGCTGGCTTGGAACCATGATCCTCATGATCCTCACATCTCAGCCTCCTCAGTAGTTAGGATTAAAGGCATGAGCCACTAGTGCCTGGCTCTAAATAAGTAGTTCTGAAGACATCATCAACTTCTCCCCTATGCTGCTGTTGTTCTACTAAGCACTGAAGGTTTTCATCTTGGTCTCTTTTCTAGACCTTCACAATGACTTCCCCTCTTATCCGTCTCCCTCAATACTCTCAAAGTTAGTATCTTTACAGTTATTGATAATAGCACTCTTCCGCAAATGATCTAATGACTTCTCATCTTTACAGCAATAAAAGACCAGATTTGGCATAACAAGAGGCCTTCCACAGTTTCCTGTCTCCATCTTCATTTCCTCCTCCTCACTACCCACCTTCATTCATAAGGTCTTGACAATGCTAAATCTTTTTTCTTTTTTGTCAGTCATGGGGCTTGAACTCTGGGCTTAGGCGCTGTCCCTCAGCTCTTCAGCTCAAGGCTAGCGCTCTACCACTTGAGCCACAGCACCACTTCCAGCTTTTTTCTTTTTGCTTATGTGGTGCTCAGGAATTGAACCCAGGGCCTCATGCATACAAGGCAAGCGCTGTACCACTGAGCCACCTTCCCAGCCCCAAAATAACTGATTTTTGTGTTTGGACTTTATGTCCTTTGGTCTTTTTTTTTCAGTGGATTTGTTTTCAGTGGATTCATAGATAACCTATGATACATAGAATATCTATGAATTACAGATAGTTCTGTTTCTTTCTTTTTAATCTAGATGCCTTTTTTCTTTTCCTTGTCTAGTTACCCTGGCTAGACCCTCTAGGCGCTATTTTCAAGCCCCAGACAGGCACCAAAAAAAAAAAAAAAAGAATGAGGCTGAGCTGCTAGGCACAATGATATGCATCCATCATCCTAGCTACAAAGGAGGCTGATGTTGGGAGAATCAGTTTGCCAAGCCAAGCAGAACGTCCTTGAACAAGCCAGGTGCTGGTGGCTCACACCTGTAATACTAGCTACTCAGGAGGCTGAGATCTGAGGATCGTGGTTCAAAGCCAGCCTGGGCAGGAAAGTCCGTGAAACTTATCTCCAATAAACACTCTGAAAACCAGAAGTGGCACTGTAGCTCAAGTGGTAGAGCGCTTGCCTGAGCTGAAGAGCTGAGGGACAGCGCTCAGGCCCAGAGTTCAAGCCCCACAACCGGGGAAAAAAAAAAAAGTCCTTGAACAACATTTCAGTGGAGGAAGCTGGACACAGTAGCATGCAGAAAACATTGTAGGAAAGGGCTAGAGGCATGGCTAAGCAGCAGAATACCTGTCTATCAAGTGTGAGGTGCTGATTTCAAACCCAGTACTGTGGGGGGAAAAAGATATTAGCTGTGGTTGTTCCTAAGGGCACTTACTAGGTTAAAGACGTTCCCTTCTTCCTCATCACCTTAAGCTTCAGCCATTGTCAGTGTCTCACCATCTAAAAACATATTAATGCTGCTACTCAGGAGGCTGAGATCTGAGGATCACAGTTACAAGCCAGTCCCATGTAGAAATGTCTGTGAGACTCTTATCTCCAATTAACCAGCAAAAATTCAGAAATGGAGCTCTGGCTTAAGTGGTAGAGTGGCAGCCTTGAGTGACAAAAACAAATGGGAATGTGGGGCCCTGAGTTCAAGCCCCAGTACTGGCACAAAAGAAAAAAGAAAAAAAATTGTAGATATATTAAGCCCTTTTGCCTGTACTTTTCCATGTGATATTCTTTCTTGAGGTTCAGGTTATATACTATATACTACACCCGTCCCCTGCAGGATGGAGGCTGCACCTTTTGCCTCCTTAGCAGGTTCCACTGTACCTAGCATATGAGATGGTTAGTAAATGGGAGAATGATACAGTTGTTCCTTCTGCTTTCCACCCATTCCTCCCAACGGTAACCAAGCAATGTTCCTTGGCCACACCTACCCCATCCTCTGATCCTGAATGCGCCTTCAATGTGGAAACATGATTTGCCTTTTCCACTCAGGTTGGATGCCAGTGAGATCCAGGTGGATGAAACGATTTTCTTGCTGGAATCATACATTGAGAGCACCATGAAGAGACCGTGACCCACAAGATGTAGGAGAATGGAAAGAAAATAAAGGAGGTGTCTGGATATATTCTTGGCAGTGGGATAAGTCTCCGATTCTTGTATTGAAACCCCCTTTCTGTCCCTACTGCTCAGAAGTTTGGCATATTTTAAGAGCTTGCTCACTCCCCCTTGGACCTACCGCTGTATTCTCCCCTCATCCAGTCTTGGCAATGGGAAGAACCTTAATCAGTGAGATTAACCCATCAGATACATCTGTTCTCAAGAAGTGAACCAAGCCGGGCGCTGGTGGCTCACGCGCTGGTGGCTCACGCCTGTAATCCTAGCTATTCAGGAGGCTGAAATCTGAGGATCGCGGTTCAAAGCCAGCCCGGGCAGAAGAGACGGTGAGACTCCTATCTCCAATAAACCATCAGAAAACCGGAAGTGGCGCTGTAGCTCAAGTGGTAGAGCGCTCGCCTTGAGCTGAAGAGCTGAGGGACAGCGCCCAGGCCCAGAGTTCAAGCCCCACGACCGACCAAAAAAATATATATATATATATACAAAGAAGTGAGCCAAAGTTCTTGGTACTAGTAATTCACACCTGTGATTCTAGCTAGTCAGGAGGCTGAGACCTGAGGATCTCCAAAGCCAGCCAGAGCAGGAAAGTGTGTTGAGACAAAAACATCTCCCTAAGCATTTGATCCAATTTTCTTTTTTGTTGTTGGTGGTGGTGGTCTTGGGGCTTGAACTCTGAGCCTGGGCGCTGTCCCTCAGCTCTTCAGCTCAAGGCAAGTGCTCTACCACTTGAGCCACAGTGTAACTTCCACTTTTCTGGTGGTTTATTGAAGATGAGTCTCATGGGCTTTCCTACCCAGGCTGGCTTTGAACCGCAATCTTCAGATCTCAGCCTCCTGAGTAGCTAGGATTACAGGCTTGAGCCACCGGTGCCCAGCTTGATTCAGTTTTCAAAAGTCTATGCCTGTTCTTCATTTCACTTAACTGTAATTTTTAATGCACATGTTGCATTGTGTAGGGGATATGAAAGACTACTGTAGGTTCTCAACCTATTTTCAGGGCTACCAGGTGACCTGACCCAAGCAGTCACACTGAATCTGGAGATAGAGGACACATTAGCCAACTCCAGTCTTGTAGCACATCTGAAATTGTATGTGCAGAGCACTTAGCACAGTACCCAGCATATGAAGCCTAAATGAATTATTCTTTCTCCATAGTTCCTTGAAAGTAGCATGTCTTGCTGTGTGCCAGTGGTACCTATAAACCTAGCTACTCAGGAGGCCGAGATTTGAGGATCACAGTTTGAAGCCAGCCAGAGCAGGAATGTCCATGAGACTTTTATCTCCAATTAACCACCAGAAAAACAGAAGTGGCGCTGTGGCAAGTCTAAAACTGGAGGTGTGGCTCAAGTAGCAGAGTGCCTGCCTAGCAAGGCTCTAATATCACCAAAAATTAAGTGCCAAATCTAAATCCTTTCAATAGCACTAATATAATTTGTTCCTAAAGCTTCGGTTTATTTAAGGCAGTGAGATACTGTTTAGAATCCTTTCAATTTCCTTATCAATACTTGTTCTGATTCTTTAGAAACTTGAGTACTAACTAGTTGCCAGCCTCTGCACTAAGCACAATATAAAAAGTAAGAAGCCCCTATGTCTGAGCCACTGAGCTCCATTTATTTTGCATCTGTAATGAGCCAGGTACTGGGCCACGCCTTGGGGATACAAAGATAAATACACCTACAGCCTAGTAGAAATAAATACACACAAGTACTGGGGAGATGTAGTAGCAAAGTAAGTCCTATGTACAGAAGCAGGAATGGGAGTACAAGAAGGGACAGCCTGCAGTTTGAAAGATAAGGATTTGCTGAATGATAGTGGCTCACACTTGCAATCTTAGCTACTCAGGATGCTGAGATCTGAGGCCCCCAGTTCAAAGTCAGCCTGGGCAGATACAACTAAGACTAATTCCAAAGGCCCAGAAAAATGCCAGAAGTGGAAGTGGTGGAGCTCAAGTAGTAGCGAGCCGTTCTTGAGCTAAAAAGCGCAAGAGAATGTGAGGTCGAGTCGAAGCCCCAATACTGGCACAAAATAAAACAAGGATTTTCCAAAGGGAAAGAATTCTAGGGGGAACAGCCTAATTCTTTCTTTTTCTTTTTTTGATCAGTTATGGGGCCTGAACTCTGGTCCTGGGAGCTGTCCCTCAGCTCTTCAGCTCAAGGCTAGCGCTTTAGCGCTTGAGCCACAGCGCCACTAATGGATTTTTCTGTGTATGTGGTACTGAGGAAGCAAACCCAGGACCTCATGCATGCAAAGCAAGCACTCTACCACTGAGCCACCTTCCCAGCCCGGACAGCCTAATTCTTGAGGAAAATTACAAAGCATCCTGTGCTCTGACCCCGCCAGACTTGAAGCTAGAGAGGCGAGGCCTGGGCCCACGAGGCCTGGCCAGGGCGCAGAACACGCGCAGAGCGGTGCAGAAGAGAGGGGAGGTTCGAACCGGGACCCCGGGTGCAAGCTGGACACCTGAACTGGGGAAGTTTACTTGTGCGGGAACTGAAAGAAGGGGGAGGCAGGATCACAACATGGCCTGCCTTGTTTCTCGGGAAGGCCGTGCCAAGCACGCTCGTCCAAAGCTAGCCTGGGCAAGCGGAATTCACCGCACCCCCTCGCCAGAAGTCTAGGGGGAAAGGCAGCGGCTCAAACGGTGGAGCGCCAGCGTGGCGGGCCCACCCGAGGCCCGGAGGTCCAGTCGTGGCGCCGCGCGTCGTGGGCGTCTGGCTCAGAGACGAATCACCGGCGGGGGCGTGGGGGAGGCTGGGGAGCCGGGGTCCCCGCGCGGGCCGCCAGGGGGCGGCCGCGGCGCGCGGCGTGGCGGAGGCCCGGCGCTGCTGGTGCTGTCGGGGCGCCGGACGCCCGCCGGCTTCGCGCAGAGCCTGTGCGGCCGCGGCCCTCGCACTGCGGCCTGCCGCGGTTCGTCCTCTTGGACCGGCCGTTTCCGGGGCCCTCGGCCCGGCTTCCGCTCCAGTTCCGGAGAGGGCCCCGCGGGGGTCGGGGTGCGGCCCGCGTAGCCTTCCAGGGCCCGTGGGGGGGGGGGTAGCGCCTCCCCCCCCCGACCTGGGGTCCCCCTCTCGTCAGCGACCCCCCTTTCTGCCTTTGCAGCCCTGGACCAGCGCCGCGCTGCATGGGGACCTGCTGCATGGGGACCGAGGCGTGGCCTGGGTGTGGCCTCGCTCCTGCAGTCCAGGGACAGGAAAATCTTGTTGACCCGAAGGACTCGCAGGTGAGGACTGGGGGACTAACCGTCCGCTGGAGGGGGGTATGAACTTTAATGGGGTCCCTGTGGAGGCAGCCGTCCCTCATGGCCTGGCTTTCTTGCAGGTGGGCAGGTGGAGCTGGAGGAGGAGGTACGGGACGTCCCTCCCCATCTGCACCTCCCCGAGCCAGACCGGCCGCCTTGAGTGTGGGCTGAGTGAGGGCTCCCGGGACTTGGAGTGGGGCTTCGGCCACCCTGACCTGTCGCCTTTGACCCCCAGCTGCTCGATGGAGGGCTGCGAGAGCCGCGGGAGGAAAGCGGACTATGTCTTCCCCATGGCCAGTTCTCTTGGCCCCTCTGGGGTTGTGGGAGGTGAGATGGGGCCTTGTTTACAACCGCCCACCCCCCACCCCCAAGTCCACCAAACAGCCCTTGCTGCCCTGGCCACCGGGAATACCGCACCTCCAAGTACTCTCCTGTACCCTAGCTACCCTTCCACCTCTCAGATTAGAGGGCCAGCAGGTTTCACCCTAAATCTCTCTTTACGCAAGTGTCATAAACACTGCTGCTCATCTCCCCGGAGTTCCAGCAGCAGCTGCAGGTAAGCCCGGCGGGTGGATGAGAAAGAGATCTGGTCACTAGCCCATACTACCTGGTTCTACAATTAAGTGCAAGGTAGGAGCTAACCTCACCTGTGTCCCCCGTCTCTTCACTCTACCTGTGGGCAGGCCATGATTAGGAAAGAGACTTCAGGAGAGGGTCAGTGTTATCTATTCCCAGGCCAGAATCCAAGCAGACCCACAGAAGGTGAGTGCCATCACATGGCTGGAACCAGATGTGGCAGCTGCGGTCAGCGAGCTCTCTCCCAGAGGACCTGCCACCCTATGTCCTGTAAGAATTCCTTTCTCCCTTAGACCACACACACACACACACACACACACACACACACACACACTTCCTTTCTTCTTTTCAAGACAGAATTAGCTCATGCCTGTAATCCTACTCAGAAGGCTGAGATGTGATGGTGGAGTTCAAAGCCTGCCCTGACAACAAGTGGCAGAGCTCCAGCCTGGAGCTAAAAAGCTAAGGGACAGGGCCCAGGCTGTGAGTTCAAGTCCCAAGATCAGCACACATACGCATTCAGAAAACCAATGGCCACCAGATTCCCAAGGGTTCTTGTTCCAACCACCTGGCACCAAAAACCTAGATTTGAGTCTTAGCTCTTCCACAGGAACAAGTCACTCCAATCACCTTCAACACATTCCTTCCCTTAGCATGCGGGCAACACCCACCCACCTCCTGTAGTAGGTGGGAGATTAAATCACCTAAACTTTGTAAGCTCCAACGTACAATCCAGACAGAAGGTGTTGCAATCCAGTGCAATTGAGTTAGCAGATGGAGAACTCTGGATCTCTGGACCTGCCCATGACCACCCAGCCACCGAGGAGAGAGACGGTTAGCACTGCAAGCAAGTTTGCCCTTGGGCTCTGGTTGCAATATCTGGACAGGTAAGAGTGAGGAGCGACATGAGGGTGCCTGAGCAATGCACCGGAACGCTCTCCTGTTCTTTGGGCTGGGAAAGGGGAGATGGATGCTCTTTGGGAATGCTCCATGTAACACGGCCCCTTCAGGTGCAAGCGGAGCTCATATGAATCCGGAGACAGTAAAGGAAGGAGACAACATGGGAACATGTGGACCCTCCCAGGGCGCTGGTGAGGCATGTAATCCCCTCCCTGGCCCACCGTGACACTCGAGCAATAGTCACAACCTTTATTATGGGTGAGAACTTCGCTACAACTTTGGGAATAAAAAGTAAAATTACAACATAGGTCCTAGGCCCCAAAGGGGGCCTGAAAAACTGGGAAGGAAGAGACGAGGGTCCTCCCAGAAAAGGTGCAGAAAGAACCAGGCCTACCACAGGGACGCAGGTCTCTAGTGGCTTAGGCCTTGGGATGTTTGGCATAAGAAATACTGTGAATTGAGCCAGGCATGGTGGCACACTCCTGAATCCCAGCTACTTTAGGAGGCAGAGGCGGGAGGATCATGAGTTCAGGACCACCCCAGGCAAGTCAGTAATACCCTTTTTCAAAAACAAATACATACACAAGGGCTCTACTTCAACTAAGACACAGCATTTGTCTAGAACATAAGAGAGGCCCTGGGTTCAATCCCCCAGTACCACAAGAAAAAAAGAAAAAAAGTGAACTTAAATATATCAATAAAAACAGACCTAAGTAAATAGGCCAGGTGTTCTCTGTTCCCTAACCCCAGGATCAACTAAGGCCTTGTCTCCTCCTCAGTCAGATCAGACAGAGACAGGGGAAGTCATCTTTGGAGTGTTTTGGTTTTTCTTATTTAGTTTATGTACAAAAGAAAAAGAAAATTTCTGCAGCCCAAAATAGAGTTTTCTGTTATCTGTGAAATTGCCAACTGCGTGGCCAAATGGAACGGAATGAACATCAGAAGCATGGCTGGTTGGTTTGGTAGAGGGCACCTTGGGAAGAAAAGACCCCTCCCCCAACAGACCATAGACAGGGGGATGGCTCTTCCCCCCAACTCATGGGCCCTCCACTTGCCTCCTTTGCCTAGTGAACATACCTCCTACCTAAAGGGCATTTCCAAAAATAGACCCCAATATCCTTAAAAAGGGGGTCAGTATTAACCCTTTGGGTATGGTGGGCCATGTTAGGCAGACATGAGCCCCAAACCAGGGGTCCATGTCGATCTGTCTGGCTTTTTGCCCAGCCCTCCTCCCCGGGCGGTTAAGGGTGGCCAGGGCACCAGGGCTGGGCCTCCACAGTATGTTCTCTCAATGTTCGGGGCAACGAAAGTTCCACAATCCTAAGATCTCAGTCCAGGGAGATGACGTCTGAGCGGCAGCCAGCCAGAGAGGGGGCTGAGGGCAGGGCGGCTCCATGCCCCTCCCTCAAGGCCCCCCCAGGAGCCACAATGCTGCTGACTCGGCCAGGAGGGGGCGCTGGAGTGGAGCTGCGGTGCGAGCTCCCCAACGTGGGGGCCAGTGGGCCCAGAAAGTGGGAAGGGGTCCCCCGGTACTGGAAGAAGTGGCCGAGGGTGTCCTGTTCATCTGTGGAAGTGATGACGGAAGGCCCATAGTGCTGGGGAGAAGGAAGGAAGGGGCGCAGTTGAAACTTCTCCCTGGCGACCACGCCAAGTCTCCAAACACTTGCGGGGATTCTCTGACTCTGCCTTATTTCCCTGAACCCCTCCCCTTGCCCTGCCTTTCCACTGCCCAACAGCTCAGCTGGCTAGGTTTTTGGGGCCTCTAATATGTGTGGAATGTCCGGTTAGGGCAGGTGGGGGGGCAAGGAGGCGGGACAGCTATGCTGAAATGTCTTGACCAAACAGAGCTCAACACTAAAACTGAGTTGGAGGCGGAAGTACCAGAGGGAACTGAGCAAGAAAATATAGCTGCTACCCTACTGAAAAGCAGACTTAGGTCCCCAGATGGGGAGGGTACCATCAGAGCCTAGAAAGGAAGCTTCCAGTCTCAGATCTTCTGAGAAAAGTAGGCATTACTTACCTGACTTTCTGTCTGAAGGAAAGAAAATAAATCTAAACCTGGTAAGAAAAAAAAAAAAATCAAAATCAGCCTACTCTCTGACCCCTTCATCTCCTAAAACAAAAGTGCCCACGGGCCCTCCACTGGTGGTTCACGCCTATAAACCCAGCAACTCAGGAGGCTGAGATCTGAAGGTCCCGGTTAGAAGCTAGCATCAGGAAAGAAAGTGAGACTCTTAAATTAACCACCAAAAGGCTGGAGGTAGAGCTCTGGCTCACATGTTAGAGTACCAGCCTTAAGTGGAAAAGCTACGGGCCAGTGCCCAGGCCCTGAGTTCAAGTCCTAGGATGGGCATACACCCACTGTGCCTTTAGCTTTGGAAAGGAACAAGAGAGTTTGGGGCAAGGTCATACCTTGGATATCGGCCCCCAGGGGGAAGGCTGGTGGATAGTCATGTATCGGGAGACTGGACAAGAAGTCGCTGCCCAGGGTGCCTGCTGGGCTCCGCAGCACAGATGGCTGGTGACCAGGTGTCAGGATTCTGTGGACAGAAGATCTGGGAGGCTCGTGAACCACAGGTGCCCAAATCCACTCTCTGTCCCCTCCCTCTACCTTTCCCCTGCCTCCCAGCTCATCTTCTGCCATTTCCTCATACCCTTTGCTTCCAGGTAGGGCTGGGATGGTGGTCGAGGGGATAGGGCAGTGCTTTTTGGCAGGGGGCAGATCCTCCTCGTCAGATGAGCTTTCTATGGTCAAGTCAATCACTTCAACCTTCTTCTTGCTCTCTGGTGCATTTCCTTCTTGGACTGCACTATACTGGAGGCCTAGGGATGTAAGAGGGCTGTGTCTCAGAAGAAGGGTCACCGAAGATGTAGCTTGGCTGGGGGACAGGGGGTCACTCACCATCCAGCCCATACCCTGGCGGGGGGCAAACCTCAGACGCCTCCTTTTTGGGTTTCATTGGGCACCAGGATCCATCTTCCATGAACTGGATCTCCTCACAATCCGAACAGGAATTAAGAATCTCCATGAATAAACTGAGGGAGTGGCAAGACAGGGATTCATGAGTCTGGGAGACGGCCCCAGCAGTGGCCGCAGTCCTGCGATGCCTCTCTTTACCTCATCTGTGCGGCAAGTACTACCCACACTACTAGATCTGAGTTGTCATGGGAATTAAGTGAAGAAAGAGCTGGGGAGTGTCACTGGGCAGCTAGAGCACGTGCAGACCCAGCCTAAAGTGAAAAGGCCAAGCGAGAGTAGAGTGAAAGGCCCTGAGTTCAAGACCCAGGACTTGCATAAAAAAGGGGAGGGGGGAGGGGGGAAGCATAGAGGATGTCACAGAAGAGGAGAATGTCCTTACCCATCAATAATAAGAGACTCGTAGGGAGCCTTCTTGTCACACACAGGGCAGGTCCAGGTTGGCTTCTTCTCATTCATCTGTAGATAGAGGGCGGCATCGAAGCTCTGCAAGTGGGCACAGGTGAGGGCCCGGCACGGGACGGTCAGCCGCATCTTCCCAAGCTGAGGAGAAGAGAGCGCTCCAGTCACATCCCCACCAGGAGCCATGGTGAAACCCCTCTCAACAACTGACAGACACTTTGGAAAAGAAAGCTGGAGCCAGTGGCTCACACCAGTAATCCTAGCTACTCAAGAGGCTGAGATCTGAGGATCACAGTTCAAAACCAGCAGGGAAGGGCAAGAGACTCTTTTCTCCAATAAACTACTCAGAAAAAGCCAGTAGCACTGTAGCTCAAGTGGTAGAGCACTAGCCTTGAGTGAAAGAAGCTCAGGGACAGTGTCCAGCCCCAGAGCTCAAGACCCTGGACCACCAAAAAAGAAAAAGAAAGAAATGATAGGGCCAGGCACTGGTGGCTCACACCTGTAATTCTAGCTACTCAGGAGGCTGAGATCTGAGGATCACAGTTTGAAGCCAGCCCAGGCAGGAAAGTCTGTGAAACGCTTATCTCCAATAAACTACTCAGAAAAATCCAAAGTGAAGCTGTGGCTCAAGTGGTAGAGTGCTAGCCTTGAGCAAAGAAACTCAGAGACAGCACCCAGGCCCCGAGTTCAAACCCCGGGACTGGCACCAAAAGAAAAAAGAAAAAAAAGAATGCTAGGAAGGCAAGCCAATCTTGTCTGGGAGGGAGGGCTGATGGAGAAGGGGGAGGAGAATAAACACGGGCAAGACACTATGCATGAGTGTGAAAATGGCAGTGAATCTTGCCGAGGTTGGCTTGGGGCTGGGGTGAGGGAGAGCGTCATGGAGGCGTGGTTTTGGAAGGAGAGGAGTCTGTTGCAGGGCACGACATACACACAGGGACGTGTCGACCTGAAACCCCTCGGAACATAAATAAAAGCCCCACTGGTTCCGTTGTAGAGAACCTCCCTTGAGCGCTGCTAAGAACACTCATTGGAGTCCAGAGTCCCCCGACCCCCACCCCACTTCCCTTCCCCCGGTACGCACCGGGCACATGAGGGACACCCGGAGACTTGTTGTGGCCACTTCACTGTCAGGGTCAGCAGTCAGCTTCTCCTTGACTGAAACGGAGGCAGAGCCAGGGCTGAGCGCCCGCTGGGAGCATGTTTGGGGACCAGTGGGATGTAACACAGGGTAGAACTGGATGCGGCAGAAAGGTGTAGAAGAAGGGACCCCACCCCGCACCCCCCACCCCCCTGCCCAGCATCCCTGAAGAGGCTTAAGATGGCTAAGAAAGGACCTGGAAGGAATGGAAGCATGTGAGGTTAGAAGGGCAATCCCTCGGCTCTCAGGGAAGGACCACCCTCACCGGGGAGAGCAGGCTTCGGGTCTGGGAGGCACGAAGCAGACAGACCCGACAGAAACAAGGGCATCCTCGCTGACACCTCCAACACAAAGGATGCGAGAAAGACAGGGAGCACGGGGTTTGTGTGACAGGAGGGAGGCTAGAGGCCCACCCTTGAGCAGCACCGGGGGAGGGAGGGGCGTTACTCACTCAGCGCCCGGGAGTGGTCTGGGTTCCTGATACCCTTTGCTCTGAGTTTTTGCAGAAGGGTCCCTGCGGTCAACTGCCTCACCAGGTACACAGACAAGGAGTAATTCTACTTGTGGGGGGCAGGGGAGGGAGGGGGAGAATTAGCCTCTGCTCCTCATACCACCCCCGCCCCCCCTTTTGAATCATGAGTCCCCAAGCTGGGGCCCTGGGTGACCTCCTTCCGCCCACAGCACGCCCGGCCAGACACTTCTTACAGCTTCACTCACCCGTCCGAACTCGGAGGACCAGTTGACCACGATGGTGTTGGGCACGGTGGCTGAGAGTCGAGCCAGGGCTGTGATGTTGATGGGGCGACTGGGCCTCTTGGGCTCAGCGCCGTTCTTGGTGGGGGGAAGGTAGCCCTGGGGGAGGGGCAGGGTGGTGGTGGCACTGGTCAGTGGAGAGGGAGCTTGGCTCTCACAACAGCAGAAAGCCCTCAGCTTCCTCCCTCCCAGGAAGGCAGGCCAGCTCCCTCATGACCACACGCGCAGGGGCGCAGTTAGTGCTGCACGATGCGGGGGCACTAGCACCTAGCGGTGCGTGAGGGTTCGCTCCTGGGGAAAGGAGAGCTTGTTTATGGACTGAGGAACGAGGAACTCATCCCTGCGTCCCTGAATGGGAGCAACAGCAACACTATCCCTGCTTCCAGCTCTGGGCTCATGATTTTTGTGTGTGTGTGTGCCAGTACTGGG